ATATATAGGCAGAAGGACATAAATGTCGAAGACATGAGACACTACAATTGCCATTTCTGGCTTATTTGCCGTCATCAGGTAGTGATACCCAACTCTATATGCTAGTCGCCCCGCGGTGGAGGCTCGAGTGAGAGCTCTAATGACAACATGGACGGATGAATGTGTCCCCTATCAGATCGGTGTACGCGTACCTGCTACTATATATATACAACCTGGCTATGTTTCTCTCTGGAGACTTAAATTTAGGCGGACATTTCACAAGGCATTGCTATTACATATTTGTACTTATGCTGTATTAATTTACCGTTTGTCAGCATTCCCATGCCTCAACAAAAACAATTATTAAACATGAGATAATTGACCCGTAATATAGGCATCACTTAACTTTCCAGTTTTAAGTAAAAAATGTAACTACTTGTATGTTAGTAAACCGACCTATGTTTTTTTCACTGATGGTAGTTTCATAATTTTTGCATAACTTTGGGAGACGCGGTATGTGCTGATTTTGCGCAATATGCATTTCTTACCTAAATCACGAGAGTTCATCAGATAGACAGTCTAATGCAGTTGTGAGAACCGTTGCTCTTGCCACAGTTAAACTTCCTTCAAACGAAAAAGTGTATTCGAATTTTTACCTTAGATTCAATGCCCACAGACCATGCGGACCGGCTAATTACGAGCTCCAAAAGATGCCTCGTTTTACGCTTTGAAACTTAAAGGCAACTCGCTCAATTTAACAGTACTTTCCCTGTCAGCAAATAAAATAAAGGTGCAATAGCATATCCAGAATTTATTATGGCATAGGGAAATCACAGGAAGATGGAAGATAGGTGATTCCTACGATGCCTGGCCCTCGGGATTCTTACATTTTCCGAGTGACTTGATTTTCGCATTTGCGTTGGCAAGCCTTTCGGGATTCAAACCTGTTTTTGTTGCCACCGCAACCGCCGTAGTAGAACTGCTGACATTTATGTAGTTTACTGTTGTAGCCGTACATCTTGTGGAGTGCCTGGCATGGTCCTTTATCGATTGGGAAGTCGCAAGAACCACGCTTTCCTATTTGGCAGAAGAGTGGAATTAAGGTAGTGTTAGTGTAGACAGATACAAAAGGAACGAAGCAGGAATATGCACATAGTTAATATTAAATCGAATATTGGTACACACATAAGATGAATAACAAGTTTTTATGTACTTTTGAAATTTAACTCGTTTTTCTGCATGGTTACACAAGTCTTATTACGACCTAGGAAGTTGCGAACTTTTCTCAATGAAACTATTTGCCTTCAGATCTACGCGTCTGTATACATTCAGAAGTGTCTTTGCCGTTCATGTCAAGAAAAATGTGTCTTAGATTTATCTTTGTGTTCCTTTTTGTGCCATTATATATGTCCATATATGCAAAAAATGGCGGGATATGGGGCGCCGAACCCAATAGAAATAAAATTTAAACACGAAACGCTAAATAACTTTAAATAAAAACATGGAGTATATTTTGCATTTAGTTGGCTTTAAGCCTATGCAACTTCCTTTTTGAGATCAAACAACATCAGATGACTCTGTCTTTTGGAGACTGTTAGGTACTCAAGAAAAATCACCCATTTGTATGTTAGATGTTGTTTCAGCAATAGTTTTTTTCGTTAGGATAGTGGTAGCGTGCCCGGTGTTCACAGCATGGTTACTAAGATATTTAATGACGGGCTCTCTGTTAATATGGACACAATTTGCCATTGTCATATTTATACTTTGTCTAGCCAGCAAATTTAATCCCTAAGATATGCTCAGTCACAGTCAGGATACACAATGATTCTGCTAGTTGCGTGCGAATTTACAAACAATAAACGCCAACATAAAAAAATTGATGGTTGTGCACCGTTTAGCATACCTTCGCTGGAGACAACTAAAGGGCGAAGGCGACAAGAAGAACGGCGATCAGCTTCATACTCCGACTTCCCTGGTTGTACGCGACTGCAGAGGTTATATATATAGTCCTCACGGAGTACATTAATCACGCAGACCTTCAAATGAAGATGCATTGAAGGTTAAGCTCACTGGCGATACATGAATTCGTTAATTCAAACAAAAAACTCAATCAGCTATCTGCCACGGCGATGTCATGCTTCGTCTGGGACCTTTCACAGACACTTTACTCTCCCACAAGCCCTACTTTTTTTAGGAAAGTAAATTAGTTGTACCACGATCCAGTGCCCAAGAAATTCATTTTTTTTCATGAAGTGGCTACATTGAGGTTAATGCAATTGTAATTGCAACTGCGGTCGCGCAAACCCTTAGCCTCGAGTTTCTTTTTATTTTAGAAAACTCTCATTTGCCTCGTCACGCAACACATATGCGCTGTTTATCGTCGTCCCTCAGTCCCTCGCTAAAATATCCTGCTTTCTTTTGACTTGAGGTACGCTTAAATGTTGTTAAACATACTGTCTCCGTCTTTAAAGATTAAAAACCCTTTAGTTTTCCACATGGTACTCCTAACCTCGTTCCAGTTCTACTGTAATGTTTAAGGAATCTATAGAAACTGAGCCGTCTACTGCTGATGCATTTGATTCGTAGGAAGACATTTCAGTTAGAAGGTCAGAGGACTTCTGATTTGTGCTGCATAAGTCTCCCATGAGCGCTTCCATTTTGCCGCAAGGTAAGTCAGTTACACTGCGATCCGGTGCCATAGTAATTTATTCAGGAGCTTTGCAGATTTGCTTAAGTTACTTGACCTAATTGTGAAAAAAACTTTCGAC